TGATTTTCTTTATCCAGGTAAAACTCTTTGGCCCAACGAGTCTGGTTGAACTTGAGTCAACAAGCACATATAGCAGTGATATTTAACCTTGCACCTGTGTAAAAGTGAATTGTGAATCTAGGTCTCCTTAGGCAATGAGTAGACAGAGCATACAAATAATCAATGATATAACAACTAGTAGTGGTTCATCCATATTGATGTATTCCACTTTCTACTTGTCGTAGTTGAGAGGCAATACCAGTCAGTTGAGTGCATTTACTAGCCATGTTATTCCATTTTGAGAACCTAAGAGCACTAAAACAAATATTCATAAAATCTTTGTGACTCCAGGCTCGTTTGCATCTGGGTGATTTCGTGTTATTAGCGACGTCTTTTCCACACAACAACAAAATCCTATCAGTTTTAGTATCTAGAAAGAGCTCAATCTCACGTTTATGTATGATCATAGGTAAATACCAAAACCGTGTTCAAGCTAACATTGTCGGTGACTCGAGTAGGCCTGAGTTGTGGATTGGCACTCTCAATCAGAGGTAGGATGGAAAATGCATGAAGTGTTTGAAGAAGTGCAGACTTGTATTCTACATCCAAGCCTATGCTCCCGCTCGCCTACCACATATAATCAAATTTCGACCTGGTACACCAACAATTTCGACCTTCTTTGTTCCTTGCTTTATGTCATTCTGTCAGAAAGAGGCGTGTTTCTGAGTTGCCTATAATGAGAGTAAAACATGACCAACGGATACTAAAGGGAAAAGCTGAAATTATCTGCCTTTACAAACACAATTACTTAACTTAAACTTGCTCACAGCATCAAAACTATTCGATACAACTAGCACTATGGTAATTTTAACTAACATTAATTATACAAGTATTTAGATCATGCAGATAATAATAAGATCAAAGGATTCGGCAAGTAATCATGGAAATAGAAAATACAGTGGGACAAGATGAAGAGACAGACACCAAGTGTGCACTGAAACAGTCTTTAGTGTTAAACGTAGACAAATAAAACAAAAATAAAATATTTGATGACTAAAAAATAAGTAAATTAAAGTTAAATTAAACTGAAGACAGATAAAAAAATGGTTTACACTGAAAATATTAGATTTGAGAATCTAATGCTGGTCATAATTTAATGAAGATCGTGTAAACAACTTGATTATTGGTTAACAACTACGACAAGGTTGGCTCAGAACGTTTTCATAAACAATCAGAGAAACTGTAGATTCATATGTTAACAAATCAGCTTGGTGCCATCTCATCATCACTCTAGTTGTTCACTTATGACACTTTTATAAGGCATAAGAGATGAATGCTGCCTCATTAAAGTGACTTAGGTGATGATTAAGATAATGTTTGACTAGTAAAGTTATAATAAAAGCTTTTTACATGTATGTAACAAGTGTACAAGTTAACTACAAGATGGCAAAGTTATGAGTTCAACATGTCATACTAAAACAGTAGAATAAATGAAATCTTTCACACAACAGAAAAAAATGTTGTTACATCAGGCAATGCAAGTAACCAATAGTTAAATATTGGTTACAAACAATTATGAATTTTAATTCATGTCCATTTGAAAATATGTCATCAAACGGTTATTTATTAAGAAAAAGAGAAAACATTCACGAAAATAGAACAATTTAATCTTTCTCGAACTAAAAATGATTGTTACCTTTCAAACATTTACTGTTGTATCCATTAGTACGTGAGTTTTTAAACGGAATTTGTATTACTGAGCTACAAAACTGACATGTTAACTACATTTAACAGAAATATAAAAATAGGATATAACATATAATATTAATTCACTTCTCCAGCCACTATAGTTTTAGCTTTTTAAATAAAAAATTTTAAGCAATACTAGAAATATTATTACGGGGTGGGGTGGGGGTGATATTTCTCTCGGATTTATTATTTAATTTTCATAGCAACGTGTTTTGCTTTTCGAATGTGGTACCTACAGCTGATATTTAATTTCTTTATAACTTACAAATACACATACACATAAATTTTAGCCTCCCAGTGGCACAGCGGTGTGTCTGCAGACTTACAACGCTAGAATCCGGGTTTCGATACCCGTGGTGGGCAGAGCACAGATAGCCCATTGTGTAGCTTTGTGCTTAATTACAAACAAACATAAATTTTAAATATCAATGTTATAAGTCTACCATTTTGGCTAAAAAGTATACTAGATGCTACAAGATTGGTACAAACCAGAATATATTAATAATTTATATGTCAAGCAAGATAAAGTATTGTTTCATTACTTCAGCTTGAAATTGGAATGAGACTCCACCCTGTTTTCGTTTTTTTGTCATAATGTATTTTAAATTATAATAGTCCTCTAGTACTTTCTAATTTTTCTTTTTAACTGCTCTTAAACTTGATAAAAGTATCTAACAAATTCTCAATAGAATCAATCTTTAGTCATTTAATAATTTCATATCTAAATTTAATTTCGTTATTTAAGTATTTTATAGATTATAAAATTTTGTACTAAAATAATTTGAATTTCTTTTAACAGTTTTCTTGCTCACAAATGGAATATTTAACGACTTGTCAGATTTAAATAGTATCTAATGTTCATTATTAACAAAAGAACAGATTTTCAATAGTGCATACTGATTAATAAGCACAACTTTGAATACAATTGTCTAAAGTCGTTACTTTAAACTCCTTAAAGAGAAGATCTGTAAAGTAATCTACAGGACGATTTAAATTAAATTTGATAACATTTTTTGTACTTTTACCAAAGTTTCTAAGTTATTGGAATACATACAATACGCTCCATTCTAGCATGCCATATTAGAATATCAACTGAATAAATGCATAATATTTTGACTTTAATAAATTAAAAACTAAATACCTTTCTTAGTTGTCTAATAGTGTATATTGATTTTCTAATCGTAGAGCAAATATATAATTAAAATGATTACTCCATTTAAAACTATTATCTATTATTATACCTAAATATATATAATGTTCGTTACAACACATAAATTAGGACAATTACACTGTATTTTATCACAATGTGGAGAATGTATATTTAATTTTGTATTATTCGGTTGTCCAATCACATTTCATGAAAAGATGACTATTCCGTTTTTTCTATATTCCAATTTAAAAGATTATTATCCAAACAGTGCCTAATTATACTCAAACCATGAGGTGCTTTTTCAAATACATCATCCTAAGTATTACTTCTATAAACGTAACGGTATTTACATTAATTTATCTTGTTAAATTAGTAACAGGCAAGAGCATAAAAAAAGTTTTATTAATAGATTAATTTTTATTTACTTGATAAAAAGATATTACTTTGGATTAGGTTCTGATATTTTACTGATATGGTTATTGTTAATTACAAAGCCCTGCCAACCACGAGTACTGAAGCACGTTTTTTAGAGTTGTAAGACTGCTGACTTACTGCTGAGCCACTGGGAGCTTTTACCAATTCACAGAATAGTTATTAAGCTCATTTATAACTTCTATATACGAATTTCAAGGAATTAAGTTCCAACTAATTGCAATAATTTCAATAGTTTCAGAGATAATTCGTTACTAACGCTCCACGCTTTCTTGGAGTTATTTTTACTTACGTCTAATTTTCATCTATGGTATTTATCCTTAGTTTTTCTATTTAAAGATTTTACACATTTCTATTTTATTTATTTTTGATTCATATTAAATGGTTATTTATCTTGTGCTATTTGATCACGAATACTTACTGATTTTACTAATCCCATAGTAATCCAATTGGTAGTTTTACGTGTTCGTGAATTTATCTTTGTTTAACTTACGTGTGCAACCACTAATACGATTTATTTGTTTGTTTGTTGTTAAGCGCAAACGAGAAACGAAACCTGAATTTTAGCGTTATAAGCTCTTAGACTTACCGCTGAGCCCCTGGAGGTAGTATTATCTATATACACTGACAAAAAATAATCAAAAGCCAGATCAAGAGAGTTTGTTTTTAAAACATTTATAAGTGTTTCATTTGTAAGTTTACCTTTATTTCGTTGTTAATTATGGTTAATTAACACGATTTCATACTGTTTACACTCACAAAAAATATTAATAAGTTGTAATGATGTGGAATAATTATTAGTAATATATGTTTTAGTAATTGCTGGTTGAGGATTGATTTTTGTGTTAATAAAAAGATAGGATCAAGGCAAGATCTTGAATTTACAGTAACCTCTGGTGCATTCATTAGTAGGTGAAAAATATAGAATATTCACGAATTAAATTTAGTAATTATTAGCATCATCCAGTTTTAAGATTTTCTTGCCTATATTTATATTACCATCTAAAATATGGTTATCCGTGCTAGTTGAGAAACAAAGCAAATCATTACGTCAACTCTTTAAGAAATTTGTTACATCGTAATTTGGGGAACGATTAATACATGTTAAGAATAAACATTAATTTCTATATTGTAATTATAGAAAAATTATATTAGCATCAATTTTATTATATTTTTTTCAATACATAAACTGAAATACCGTCACACTTATTATATCTATTGATATTAGTGTATATATATACATATATATAATAACCAGGAATATTAAAAATCACAATAACATCATACTATACTTTAATTTCATTTAGTAATATCATTATTTCATTATAGCGTCGCTGTAAACTACGTGCATTCAAATGAAACAATCTAATATCGTTACTTTCATTAATAAAAGTTCACAATGCTTTGAATTATTAATCTACATTAACTGATTTGTTATAATTTTTAATATGATCTAAAAACTCAACCGTACAATAAATACAGATATAGATTAACTATACATCTAAGTAAAACTGCTGAATCTATTTTAATTTTTTCAAAATATAGAAGTTATTTATACCTATCAATCTTTCTGTCAAATATTTTATATAATTTTTAATTCAGGTAAAAAAATATTGCTTACAACTTTTTTAGTTTCATAAAAGTTTTTTACCATATGGAGACAACATGTTATTTAATAATACTTTGCCATTCAGTAGATTGGAGTGTATGTCCTTAGTTGCTTTTTCCTTGTACTAATCTCACAGTATATCCCAAATTTCCAATAGCCTTGCATCCAGTTTTCCTTGCTTTGATCGGGGATGATTTGCTTTTTTTATAAGATGGAACTCTGTAAGTAGCAGTAATTTTTGTTTTATTAAATGGAACTTTTATTACTACTGCAACTCGTTACAAAAGAAGTGCTATATCTTCCTTGGTAGTTTCAGAACTGAATTCAGTTTATTTCTATGTTCATTAATCGAGAGGATTATTCAAGACCATTGGTTTTTTTTTGTTTGCCATTTTTCTTTTTGTGTACTTTTAATTTCTGCTTGATTAGTTTTCAGTTTTTTAACTTCATAATGATTTATTTCTTATTTTTGCAGAAATAATAATCGATTAACTTTGTGCAGAAAAATATGGACTCCTGTATATCCTCAAATTCTTTAGCTTAATTGGAAGTTTTTTACTTTTAGCAATAGAGACTTAAATACTTCGTAATTCTTTAAATATTCAAATGACTTATATATATATATATATTTAACTGATCAAATGTCTCAAATAATCTCATATACACTTCTTCATTTTTACCGTAGTTAACAAGTTTCACTTCAGCTCTATTAAATTCGCTATTATTTTCATTTTCATTAGTTTTATAATATTTTCCATTTTCATTTTTTGCACTTACGCACTTATAATTTACACATTACTATTTTTAAATTTTTTAAAACTTCTTTTTGTTAATGCCATCACAGCAACAATGATACTTATTTTTGCAACACAGCTAAAACATACTATAATTCCAGTTGCTATCAGTTGTGAATTATAAACATGATAATGTAGAACTATGTTGTACTGACAACCGTTCCAGCACCAGTATTTTTACCGTTTCCTTTTATCACCAGTTTTCCTTTTTTATGTTTTCTAAAAATGTATCTTTGATTATAATTTTCGAACCTCGCTTTAAAATGTCACACTGCCAAAGAATGAGCATATGTCATATAGAATCCACGTTGAAACTTGGTTGCTGGAAGTATGCTAATATTTAAAATTTTAAGACATTCGAGTGAATGCAAAGAACATGTTATAACAAGATAAATAAAAAATTGTGAATTCAAAAACCTGCAAATAGGGATCGTAAAAAAGTAAACAAACAAGGCATTCTTTGTAGAATGGACGTTTCGAAAGTCTTCTGCCTTTCGGAAGACTTTCGAAACGTTGTCCTCTACACTTGTGTCTCTACAACAGGCAGTTGTCGTCCACTCTACAAAGCTTTATCATGAATATTCTGCATAAACAATCTATGAAAAAAAAAGGGGCTGGAGATACTGTAGACATTATTTACTTAAATACGGAACCTCTATTTTGGCTCCATTCTGTTACCTAGAATGACATTTGATGGTGTTAAAATAGGGATTTGTAGTTTGAGTAAATAATGTCTACAGTATCTTTAGCCTTGCTTTTTCACGATCCCTACTTAGAACTTTCTAAATTCCCAATTTTTTATTTATCTTGTTTGCTGGCTTTTTGTTATGCTCAACTATAGGCAAAGGACTGCATGATATGATAGCTAACTTTATACATTTTAAAGATAATAAACATAGCTAATATCTAGCTGATACGGTTCATAATGATTTACTGTAGCTATTGACAATTTGATCGCATTAGTTCGAGATGTAAAAAGTCAAGCTGCAGATGGAGATTGTCATGGAGATTTGTTTGAGAATATATATTTATAGTTTCTGTGTAACTAAATTCACTATATATAATGCATAACAATTGGCAAATATATATCTAGACTAAGACACAACCCCCTAAACGCGTATAAAAATTTTACCAGTAGAAAAGCAGCCTTTTCAATTAAAATATATACGTCTAAAACATCGCTTTAAATAAACCTTTTTGTCCTTTAAAGTAATTATTCTATGAATGTGTGTAACAAAATTTGATATTATGCGTATTGATATTTTTTCACTCCTTCACTTTATACATAATATTAGGATTGACTCTTAAATACTCCGATTGTACTGTGTACAAAGCATTGAGTATTTACGTGTTACAGTCATCTAAAGTTCATCTATTATTGGCTGGTAATTCTTGTTTCATCCTTTTTAAAGGAACACTAAATATTTGTAAGAAAGCTAACTTCGAGGCCTTTTTTGTTGTAAGCTAACAAGGGAATAATAATGATAATAATAATAAGAAGAAGAATTACGAACGGGCTGTTTTGAGCGGATTTTCTTTTCCTTGTAAATCTAACATGCATACTTTTTTGTGTATTTTTATATTTGTAGTCTTAGCAGTCAATAGTAAAGGTTTTAAAGCGTTGTTTGAACTGAATCTTTACTGTTTAAGGTGCTTTTTTCCCAAACGTTTTATTAGGGTTTTGTGCAATTCCTTGCTCTCCTTGTTATGAACCACGATATATGATATATAAACCACACTACATTTGTTGTGTACACTGTGCCGACGAGACCTTTCGGTCAGTGCCAGGGATCATCAGGATGATTGGGATACAACAAATATAGTAGAGGTCTAGGCGCTATTTGTGTCATCGGTTTTCATGAACAACGACTGTTATGGTGTGAACAATAAGTGACTGAACTGTAATTATTACCAGTTTTATATAACTGACTTACAGATGAGATTTTTAGGGTAAGGACTAACAAAATAATATTATTTATTTTATTTTTAACACTGAATACTATTTTATTATTATTCTCTTATTCAAATTAACTTTACTGTCATTCAGAAAAACTGGCGAACCAGCGAGCTAGTTTTCGTTCTCCCGAAACGGATCCAGCAATCACAGCGTCAACGTGAGAAAATTACATTAATTCTAAGAACGTATGAGTAAAAGCCAATAAGAATATTCTAAAAATTCAGTAAACATTTAAAATGTTTTCTATCCCATTTTAGCTGTTTTCGGAATTCTTATAGTTTTGTAGAGTATGGGATACGTTCAACATTTATATGTATACCAAGAAAAATATGTTGTAATATGTCAACCACATGACATCTGTCATATCTGTCATAAAACCTATACTAACTGGTTATTGACGTTAATACTATTTACTCATCTACAAACAAAGCCGTGTCATTATGAGAGGAATCTTTTGAGAAAAGCTTAGAGCCGATAAAACATCTTAGATCTATGTGAAGCTGCGGGCCGTTTTGTTCATTTTCAAAACGAAAATTGTACTAACCACTAAATAGCATTTCGTTTATTTAAAAAACAACAACATATAACAAAACTCTAAATAGTAATACCTAAGAAAATTTCTTTTTTAATTTAATTATACAGGTTTAAAATGATACGGTTTTAACAAATGATCACCAACAATGTTGAAGCCGAACAAAATTACAAAGAAGACAAACAAATCTGTTTTCAAAATGCTGATCGAAAGGGAAAATATTTCATTATGAACAGTATTGAGTCCTTAATTAACACAGTTTGTACCATATTGCTCTTTCGAGCAGAATAGGCTGGGCGTAGCCACATGGTTAGCGTGCCGAACTGTGGACCCGAGGATCCACAGTACGCGTCGCATCTCTACAGAATTGCATCCGCAGTTTGGGGCTGTGGGTGCTTCGTAAGTGACAGTAAAATATCACTACTTCATTAAATTAGCACAAAAATTATCGGCGAGTGCTGTTGACAGTCTGCCCTGCCTCTAGTTTATAAACTCAAAATTAGGGATAGTTAGCGTAGGTAATCCATGTGTTGCCATACGCGAACATACGAAAGAAACCAAACCAAGCAGACTGTGCGCTCGACTCACAATTTGCGGGTCGCGAGTTCAAATATCATCACCGAACACGCTTGCCCTTTCAGCCACGAGGGCGTTATAATGTGAGGAACAATCCCGCTATTAGTTGGTAAAAGAGTAGCTCAAGAGTTGACGGTGAGTGGAGTTGACTAGCTGCCTCCCCTCTAGTCTATCACCTCAAAATTAGGGACAGCTAGCTTTGTGCGAAATTCAAGAAACAAAGAAAGCAGACAGGGCGAACGACGTAACTTTTTAAGTAGTATTTTAATTTTTACCCTCAGGTTAGTGACTTCAAGGCTTGCTTGTTTGTTCATGAGGAGAGAAATTTTCACATAATAAAGTGTCCATATACATGAAAATATCTTTGAAATATCTTATAATCAGAAAGTTATGTTTATAAAAGTGAAGACATTCATTCTGACGAAAACTTGAATAAAGTGTTTAAATAGCCGTGACGTCCCTATATAGAGTACATAATGCGTGAAAGTAATCAAAATGTTTCTCTCTCTCTTCAGTTGGCTGTATAGATTTCTGAAGCTGTCTACTTCAACTTGACACTTCTGATTTTCTACTTTCACATCTACAGACAAGCTATGGCGAAAACGAAAAATTTGATGTGAGAACGTGACATCTGCGGCGTGAAGAACAATCAGAAAAATCAAACTGAACCGTGCATCGTCTGCTTTTCTTAACGCATGTAGAACATCTAATGCTTTCCCATCTTAGTCCAATAGAGTGAATCTTAACGTTCAGGCGAGCGGATGTTCTTGAACGTTAGAGAACCACACTATTTCCTTAGTTTATGCGCTAAAACTAAATTCCCTCATAGTTAGAGGTAACTAAATAAATGTTCAAATTCTTACTCTTTTCACAGATAAAGTTTACTTAGTCCAGAGCAATCATCGTGTGTAGAGACAAGATATATAATAAATAATGATGAGAAAGTTTATAAAGACAAATTGTGAGAAGTGTTAAGACCAAATGGAATCTGTTTTACAAGTTCCACGCCACTTTAAAAAAAGCAAAATGCTATTTCTTTCAGCTTAAGCCACTTAATTAAACAAATTATTGCATCAGCCTCGACTATTGTACTATAGACATCAAACGACTTAAAAAAATAAATCAGTGTGATATATATAACTCTGAGCATTTAATAGAAAACTATTTACGCACTACGCACACCAGCCAATCAAAAAATATTGTGTTGATCTAGGAGTAAGTTACAAAAATATATGCCCCCAGTGGCACAGCATATAAGTCTTACGACGCTAGAAACCGGGTTTCGATACCCGTGGTGGGCAGAGCACAGATAGCCCTTGTGTAGCTTTGTGCATAATTAAACAAACAAACAAACAAAAAT